CCTTTTTTTTTTTTTTGAGTTGGAGTCTCATTCTGTTGCCCAGGCTAGAGTGCAGTGGCACACTCACGGCCACTGCAGCCTCACCCTGCTGGGCTCAGCAGGCTTGACCCCTGCACCCGGTCTCTCTCTCTCTCTCTCTCTTTTTTTTTTAATCAAGGTCTCACTAGATCGCCCAGGCTGGAGTGCAGTGGCAAGATCATGGCCTACCATATCTTTGTTCTCCTGGATTCAGACGATCCTTCTGCCTCAGCCTCCCGAGTAGCTGGGACTACAGGCTTGTGCCACCACACCAAATTTTTTGACTTTTTTGTAGAGACAAGGTCTCACTATGTTTCCCAGGCTGGTCTCGAACCCCTGAGCCCAAGTAGTCCCCTAGCCCTGGCCTCCCAAAGTCCGGGGCTTATAGGCCCAGCTGCCAGTATTCTTTTTTTTTTTGAGTTGGAGTCTCACTCTGTCACCCAGGCTGGAGTGCTGTGGCATGCTCACGGTCACCACAGCCTCAATTTGCTGGACTCAGGCGATCCTTCCACCTCAGCCTTCCAAGTAGCTGGAAATACAGGTATGCGCCACCACGCCTGGCTAATTTTTTTGATTGATTGTAGAGACGAGGTCTCACCAAGTTGCCCAGGCCTGTCTGGAACCCGTGGACTCAGGCAATCCTCTCACCTCGGCCTCCCAAAGTGCTGGGATTATAGGCGTGAGCCACCACACCTGGCCTACCAGTATTTATTCACACCTTCATCTCACTTCAAGGCTTGGCCTTGGTTGTGGAACGATTGTTTGGAGTTGAGTTTCTGTGGAATTTGTGCCTCTCAGTCCTATCTAATCTGCTACGGTAGGTAGCCCCAGCTTCTGCGTAAGGCTCTTTACAAATTCCAGTCACCTGGAATATTGATTGGTTTATGAAACTTACAAGAGAGCACTGATGGCTCAGGACACTATAGCACACAGTTTTATAACCAAGGACGCTAATTATTTAAATTCCTGTACAGTGTTTACAATCACATCAATTCAGAGTGACAACTGGGAATATGCACATATCCTACAGAGACCAGCATTGGCCAGAGGCTGGACTCACATGCACCAACTCCTAAGAGACAGATGTGCCAGTGCATCTGGCATGATGGCTCATGCCTGGAATCCCAGCACCTTGGGAAGCAGAGGCGAGAGGATTGCCTGAGCCCGCAGGTTCGAGACCAGCCCGGGCAACTTGGTGAGACCTCATATCTGCAATAACAATTTTTTAAAAAAATTAGCCGGGTTGGCGTGCCTGTAGTTCCAGTTACTTGGAAGGCTGAGGCAAAAGGATTGCCGGAGCCCAGCAGGTCGAGGCTGCAGTGGCTGTGAGCATACCATTGCACTCCAGCCTGAGCAAGAGTGAGATTTCGATAAAAAAAAATAAAAAGAGACAGATGTGTCAACCAGTCAAATGACAATGAGACCGACAGGAGTGCATCCTCACCCTGGTTGTCTCGTTGGAGGAAAGCAGACTTGGGAAACGGTCACCTCAGAGGGGAACTGGGGGCCTAGATATAGGGAGTGACCCTGTGTTCCCAGCCTTTGCACTGGGGTCTCCCATTCTTTTTTTTT